AGCTGTTATAAATTCATACTTAGGGTGGGTCATGAACCATCGGAATTTTATATGAGGAGTCAGGCTGGAATGGGGAATATGACTTGTTCCATTTGAGATGTGTGGAACACACCATACCAGGTAAACCTGTCACAAAGACAGCCAAGGATGTTTGTAAACACAGTTAGGGACTGGGGATGAGTAGGCGGTCTAGAGCCGGAGACCTGGGGCCACCAGCATCCCGATTCCGAGAGGTACCATGAAAATTGATGAAACTACGCAGAATATGTAGTGGAGGCACAAGAGAAGAAATCCACCTATTTCTGGGGCATTTCAAATATACGGAGGTAGTAAAAAGAAGAGACAGAGGAGGGCGACGGAGAGAGAGCCAGCGTGCGAAAGGGAGACTTCGACCCAGCCATCAGGATGTGCTGGCAGAACTGGGGAGACGAGTCTGCCCCTCCGAGGGGACCCAGGGAAAAGGGCGCGGTCTACGCAGAGCCCGAGGCAGGGAAGCCGGAGGGGCCCGGAGAGCAGCCCTGGGTGAGGCCGTTTGGAATGCGGAGGTCTCAGGAGTGGAGCAGCAACCAGAGGACTGAGAGTGTCTGGAAAGTGAGGAATTGGTTAAAGTAACCCCGGTGGGTGGCTGCGACAGAGAGGGGCGTAGGTGAAGAAGCACCCACCCCCCAAATCCCGTTTGAGAGGAAGCAGTCAATGAAGAAGGGAATATGAGAGATACAGAAAAATAAAGGCAGGGATGGAAAGAACGGAGGGAGGGGACAGGGAGGGAAGGAGAAGGTGCAACCAATAGGCTGTAAGCACAGGAGCAAGCGTGGGTGCCAGGGGAGCAGGGACTCGGCGCCTCCTCGATCTACCCCAGGCGCCCCGGAAATTCCAGGCCCGGCCGTCTGCACTCCCCGAGCCTCCTCCGCAGCCGCGGCTCCTCCCAGTCGCCCTACCCCGGCTCGCGCCCGAGCTTCCGGCGCTTCCAGACCCACTGCTCGCGTCACCCGCCGGTCCCACCAGGCAGCAAATCGCAGGCGGAGAAACAGACGCTTCCTCTCTAGGGGCAGCTTCCGAGTCAGGAAGAGTCTGCGCGCTCCTGCTCTCTGGGCCCGGCCCTCGGCCTGGGCCAGGTCTCTCGGTGGGGCTCGGGACTCCGGCTGGTGCCAGGGCGACCCCCACAGCCCCGCGACTCTCTTTCCCGGCCGCCTCCCACCGTCATTCCCCTACTTCCTGCCAGCCTTTGCCTCGCTCTGAGTCCTGCTTTGGCCTTCCTCCCTCCCCGCTCTCTCCCGCGCTCCAGGGAAGAGGTGGCCGCCGCGGGGATCTGGGCACCTGCGTGCCTGCCCCGCCTGGTACCTGGGAGAGGCCCCCACCTCCTGCTGCTGCTGCCGCCGCTGCTGCCGCTGCTGCCGCCGCTGCCGCCGCCGCCGCCGCCGCCGCCGCCGCCGCCGCCGCCGCTGCTGCTGCTTCGACTATTCCTCCTTTGTAGATGCTTCACGTCCGCCTTGATTGAGGGCAAGGCTTCCGGCAGATGACTCAGAACCGTTCGATTGCGCTGGCCTGTGCAATCCCTGATTCTTTGGGCCTGTGTGGATGTCTGCCGGCACCGGAGAGAGGGCCGGTGACTGGTCCTTGGAGGGTGGTTGTGGAAGGCTTTGCTCAACAGGAGATTGGTTTGTTTTTCTGGATTAGTATGTTCAGTATCCGTGTTTCGGGTGTGTGTGTGCAAGAGCACTCTCAAAGTGAGGACTTGACTTTTAAAATTAACTAAAGGCAAAATCAGAGGTTAAAGTTGCTAAAGTCAGCAGTTTCCAAGCTGTTTTGGCGTGACACTCAACACAAGTTTCCACACGCATCCCCAATGGATCGCTATGAATTTATACCTAATAATGTGCTCAATACTAATGTATTCTAAATGCTATAAAACATATAAACAAATTTAAATTTGGATTGACAGCAATCATGGGGGTAAAGGTCTCAGGAAGTGGACTGATTTAAATGGAATAAAGAGCATTGGTTGTACTTACTAAACCTTGACATTTGATTTTCAGTACATATACTAATCACTCAAAGATATTTGATTGGAATCTAATGAGTAAAAATCTATCCTCTTGAAACCAGTTTTTAAAAATAATTTAATTTTTGGCCGGGCGCGGTGGCTCACGCCTGTAATCCCAGCACTTTGGGAGGCCGAGACGGGCGGATCACGAGGTCAGGAGATCGAGACCATCCTGGCTAACACGGTGAAACCCTGTCTCTACTAAAAAATACAAAAAAATTAGCCAGGCGTGGTGGCGGGCGCCTGTAGTCCCAGCTACTGGGGAGGCTGAGGCAGGAGAATGCTGTGAACCCGGGAGGCGGAGCTTGCAGTGAGCTGAGATCGCGCCACTGCACTCCAGCCTGGGTGACAGAGCAAGATTCTGTCTCAAAAAAATAATAATTTAATTTTTATATGTCAACAGTTTGAAGTCCACCGAAACTATTCTTTTTGGAAGATTTTTATGAAGGTTAGAAACCTACATTTCCAAGTTTTTAAAGTTTTCTTCTATGAGAATTTTAACATTTTTAAACAACAAAATCATACAATTATGGAAAAATATCCCAGGAGGGCTCTCAAAATGATGACCCCAGACTCTTTCAAAAAGCAGTTTATTTCTCATTCATGGAAAAGATGCATATTTACCTGAAAGGCATTCAACTGTATCTTTTTCCAAAAACTTTTACTAGGTATTCCACTACTGACAGCCTCATCACAGAAAAGGTCAGCATAGGAGGAAACAGTAGCCTTTCACAAAAGAAAAAAAAATGCAAATGTGTAATTAATTATTTTCGTAAAGTACACTTGTTGTAAATGATGATGGGTGCAGCAAACCAACATGGCACTTGTATACCTATGTAACAAACCTGCACGCTGTACACATGTACCCTAGAACTTAAAGTGTGTGTGTGTGTATATATATATGTACACTTGTATGAGATAACAAGAAAGTCAGCATTTTTCAAAAGACTGATGGCTGCTTTCCTGCTTATTACAAAGTATTATAAAAGTTCCGCTATTTAACATCCTGGGTTTTTGTTTTTTTAAACTGCAGTGATACCACCTGGTGGCAAGCATTCCTCGCAATATCTTGCTGAAAGCGAACGCACAAGAAGGCTACTCTCAACCCTATTTTTCATGAAACAGTGCTCCTCAGTGTCTATGTAGAGGTTCAAAGAGCCAAGTTTTGGTTCAAACCCAGTTATCCCAGATCCCAAAGTCTGTGCTGTTCTGCTTCCAGAGAGGAACTGGGCAGGCTAAACAGAAATCAGAGATAGACACGGACACTCAAGTTGAGAGCCTTACAGAACACTTTTGAAAAGTAATCTTTGCCACTTCAGGTTTATATTAAACCCCTACTTTTCAGAGGGTTCTTACTCTGGAAGATCTTTCAAAAATCTCAGCCCTAACACGTCTTGGACTGAACATGATTGGGATAAAAAGTACACAGGGACTATTTCTCAGGGTCTCAGGCAAATGGTGGTGAAGGGAAGGTCTTAATCTGAAACATCACTACCACCAGGGTTTCCACTCTACTCCCACCATAGAGGAGTAGCCAACTGTCCCCTTGACTAGATTTAGCTTATCCTAACCCTCTGTTTTAAGGAAGGAAGTAGACCTCCTCCTTCCTTCTTCCCAGGACATAAGTGCATGAGTAACTTTCGTTCCTACATCCTTCATCTCTTTACTATTTTGCAAAGTCTTAGCACGTAAATATGCTCAGTATCTCACATACTAAAAACAAACGTGCTTTCTTTACCTTTTATACTGTGTAGCTACCACCCGGCTTTTTCATTTTTTCATTCACAGTCAATGTCTTCATAAAAAGTGTACCCATAGGCTGTTGTCCTTTTTTCACCGTTAATTGACTTTTGACTCCACTGCAGTTAGACATCCACCCAAACATTCTCTGAAATTCCTCCTGAAAGGGATACTAATCATCTTCTAATTGCCTTGGCCAAAAGATACATCCCAGGTCTTATTTGATTTTGTTTGTTGGCGACATTTAGTCCTTTCCTCTTTGACCTTCCCAGGATGTCCAGCGCACCCTTCCCTTCATTCCTGACTCTTTCGCTGGGTGTCCTGATTCCTTTCCTGCCATTCTAAGCCCTCTTCTTTTCACTATAATATGATCTTGTATGACCTCCACTATATCCATAGGTTCATGTTTCAACTTTTAACTTACTTCTTCAAAATCTCTAACCTGTCTCGAGCCATAGATGTTACCTGTGTACTACTGGACATCTCTCCGAAACCTGGGTGTTTCCCTCCCCACTTCTTTTAACTAAATGATCAAAAGTCCTGTTATTTCTATCACTTTTGTGTTCCTCCCATCCATACTCTCTCTCTCACCTCCATCATATCTCATGTCTCTCCTAAACAATTAATTTTCCTACCTACAGTTCTGATCCATGCCAACCTATTGCCTACGCTGAAGTTCAGGTAAACATTCCAATTCTAATTATTTTATACCTCAGTTTAAAATCCTTTATAACATCCTCTTATCCAAAAAGATAAATTACAAACTATTGAGCAAGGAGTGTAAGCCTCTTAATGTCTTGATTTCTCCCTTCTTTTCTTTAGAGCCATAGCAAATTATTTACATTCCTTCATATCCTCTATTCATATACATGGGGTTCCTGGCATGCAAGCTTGTCTTTCAAAATTCAGTTCAAATAATGTCTCCTGCAGGAAGCTTTCACAGCGCTCTTCAGTTAGGGAATTCTGCTTTTAAATATCCACATTCCTCTCTGCACCCCAAACCAATTAAGTCAAGATCTCCTGGGGGAGGGAACCAGGCCACAGTATTTTGTAAAACTCGCTCAGTGATTTCCCTGTGGAATCCTAAAAGTAACTGTTCCCAAGAACTCTCCTCAGTAAGTCTTGGTGCAGGATTCGCCCCCATCTTTTCTCCATGACTTTGAAACCCCTCTCTCTAGTGGCTACAGACTCACATTTGAACTGTGCCCAAACTTACCTGCTCGGCCAGTTGAAAATGCCAAGGTCTCTTCCCCATTGTGCATCAATGTCTCCTTGCTGGTCAGAACTAGATCCAGACTTTGGGCCCCACTTGGTCCATCCACTCCTTTTCCTCTTTGACCAGCAAAACAAATTAAATGATGAAAAATGCTTGTCTCCTCTGTGAAACTTCCAGCAAATGTCTGGTGGTTTGAAGTCTTTTACAAAGGATATAATTTGGCCCCTGGGAGTTTGGTTGTAAACACAGATACATCCCATGTAGGAAACACAGTGCATGCAGGTGCAAAGAGGCACAAGATAGCACCATGAAAACGATGACGTATCCAGGCCTGCAGTGGTTCAGATAGTGTGGATGAGGCACTGCAAGAGAGTGTCTGATGTGTCCACAGGGCCATGTCATGAAGGGCCATGTGGACTCTCTTGGTGGGGTTTCTTCGTTCCCTTGTGGACTATGGGAAAACACAAAAGGAGTTTAAGCTGGGGAGAAACATTGTCGTATTTATATTTACGTAGGTCCCTCTGGCTGCATTATGGAGTATATTGTAGGAGGGTACCATTGCCTGCAGTGAGATGTTAGGGACACAGCATGGGTAAGAGTTGAGGAAAGCTGAAATGAAGCGGAGGCAGGAGAAATGGACAGGAGGACATGGCCTTGAGGAATTTCCAGGACATAAATTTGGCATCATTTCTTGTACCATGAAAGGAAGAGGGAGCAGGAAGAATCAAAGATGAATCTAAGAATGAACAAATCTAATTTTTGGAATAATGCAATGAAATGTGGAACTGGTCTGTTTTCCTAGTTAAGGAATTTGTCTGCAAGTCTATATTCATGAAGATTAATTGTATTTATTTTCTGAGTATGGACAATTTAAATGCTGGTCCCTAAAGGGAAACCTCTCTCTCAGAGTACCTGAAGCCCAATTTCAGAGTGAGCCTGAACAGGCTCCCCACTCATGAAGCTTTCCCCCGGCCCACTGGGAAGGCGACAGGTAACTGATAGTGTTCCAGAGTATATAATTCAGTGCCTCAGAAACTGTCCTCAGCCTCATCTTCTGTCTTCTTGCCTCATACCTAACTTCACATCTCTTCAGTTGGTACTGGGGAGCATCTGCTGGTTCTCAACTCCTGACTCAACCTTGACCTAGTTTTGTCTGACTCCCTTGGCTCCTGACTTTGTGGACCTCACGAAGGGCACAGTCCCAGGCTAGTCTCAGGTTGAGCTACCAGTGCCTCCAAATTAGACTTCCACTTGTCAGGAGGAAAGTAGAGTCCAGGCATAATTGGAGCTTCCTAGGGTGGTTTGAGATCTCTGTACTCCTTGTTATAAAATGAACAAATACTCCACCTTAAAGAGTCTCATGGGGCGGGGCACAGTGGCTCATGACTGTAATCCCAGCACTTTGGGAGGCCGAGGCGGGCGGATAACCTGAGGTCGGGAGTTCGAGACCAGCCTGGCCAACAGGGTGAAACCCCATTTCTACTAAAAAATGCAAAAACTAGCCAGGTGTGGTGACAGGTGTCTGTGATCCCAGCTACTAGGAGGCTCTGAAGAAGGAGAACTGCTTGAACCTCGGGAGGTTGCAGTGAGCTGAGATTGCACCACTTCACTCCAGCCTGGGAAACAGAACAAGACTCTGTCTCAAAAAAAAAAAAAAAAAAAAAAAAGACTCTCACCGGAATTCCAATATATCCTTCAGTGACTGACCATATACTCCAGCAACAGTTAGTTACTTCATATATGCCGGCCACACCTCTCAATCTTCCATGAGATTCCTAGCAAGCGTCCCTGGTTTTGAGAAAGTGTAAAAAAGCAACAACAACAAAAGCAAAACACACTTGCTTCAGCTAATTAATGCTAAAGGAACAAAGATAGCATCATAAAATGTAAGCATTTGAAGGAACCATATTGTTGACGCTGTTCCTTATATTTTGCAGGGGAGGATGTGAAACAGAGGTAGTTTGTGTGATTTTCCCAGAGTCCCATGAAGAATTCATGGAAGAACTGAGACTACGGTTGGTATGACCACATTCCCAGAGAACTGCTTTTTCCGCCACACCTTGCAGTAATAATATTGTCACAAGACAATTGGACAGCGTTTCACATATTCAGTGATGGAAGAAGAGTTTAATTGAAATGAATAAATGTCAGGAAAAATTAATTCAATTGTGATAACACTTAAGGAATGGAGTGTTCACTCTCTAGGAAAAGTTGGGCTAAATGGTGAAGTGGAGTGTCCCTGTATGTGATCTGTGGTGCTATTTTGCTTTAGGTAAATTCCTATTTTTAACTTCAAATGTGCTCTGACTGCATTAGTGCCAATTTTTTTGAGACCGGTGTACCTATCCTATTGGGTACATTCAATTGACACAAGTACATTCTCTTTTCAGTTCTCCCACCATTTCTCTCTATTCAAACAACTAAAACCTTCTTGAATATTATTTGGTTAGTCCTTTGAGTTAATGAATCATTTTTCAGGATCTGCTTCAGACACATTAGTACTGCTTACTAACAGCACAATCCTAAATTCAAAAGACTACTGAGTTATCAAGTGGATGTCTAGATCATCCAAAATATACTGGCTGTGGTTTGGGTATGGATTTTTGTCCCCACCAAAACCCACACTGCGATTTAGTTCCTGGTGTGCCAGTGTTCTACTTAGGGAGAGGTGTCTGCGTCACATAGGTGGATTCCTTGTGAAAGCCTTGGTCCTCTTCTCCTGGTAGTCAGTGAGGTAGAATTAGCTCTCATGGAATGGATTAGTTCCTCCAAGAGTGGGTTGTTATAAAGTAAGCTTTCTCCCCGTGTTTGGTCCCTCTTCGCATGTACCTGCATCCCCTTTGACCTCTTCCTCGTTGAACCTGCAGGTTCACTGCAACCTCCGCCTCCCAAGGTTCAATGTCTTTTGACATAGCACAAAAGCCCTCTCCAGAAGCCTGGGGATGCCAGCGCCATACCTCTTGTATAGTCTGCAGAACATGAGCCAAATAAGCCTCCTTTCTTTATAAACTACCCAGCCTCAGGTATTCCTGTATAGCAATGCAAAACAGACCAAGACAATGCTTATATTAAAGTGTCTAGATTGTTACCAAGACAAATGTAAGCAATGAAACATACATGTTGTAGAGCATCTGCTGACCAACGGTATGGAGAACCCAGTGGACCTTAATGTGAAAAGCATTACATTAATATGTCTGCTATTGTATTTCAAGGAACTTATAAAAGAAAAAAGTCTCCTGATATGGCATTGCCTGGAAACTGCCATTAGTCCCTCATTAGTGAATTGTCAGTCTCTCCATTAATTTGAAGGAGGTTAAGGGGAAGTATTAAGTAACAGAGTTTGGAGGCAATTAGAAAGGTCTCTTTGGTTTCTAAATGTATCTTTTTGTGCTTTGATTGAATGTGTTGCAGATAGGAAAGTTAAATGGGAGATACCCTGATATCCTCTCAGATTTTAGCTTATCAATAGAGTTACCATTGATTGTTGAAATAGTGTGAGTTCATGCCACTTGTTCTAGTGTCCTGTCTAGTTCAGCATTAATCTCAGAATTTTCAGTTTTTAGTGGAGTAGTTTTTCTTTTTTCTTTTTTCTTTTTTTTTTTTTGAGACACAGTCTCGCTCTGTCCCCCAGGCTGGAGTGCAGTGGCCAGATCTCAGCTCACTGCAAGCTCCGTCTCCCGGGTTCACACCATTCTCCTGCCTCAGCCTCCCGAGTAGCTGGGGCTATAGGCGCCCGCCACCTCGCCCGGCTAGTTTTTTGTTTTTAGATAGAGACGCGGGGTTCCGCGGTTAGCCAGGAAATGGTTTCGATCAATCCTGCAACCAGTGCATCCGCCAGTCCGTTCTCGACTCCCAAAGTGC